GAACTATTCCAACCTTTGAATTGGAAGAGTTCAAAAGTGTTTTCAGGGGTGAATGAGTTGATAGACAATCAGGGAGACTGTCTCAAATTTAAGGAAGACATTATATTTTAGAACAAGACTTTATCTTATTCACGAGAGAAAAAATGTTTTAAAGATATTCTTCCCTAGTATTCAATACACTGAACAATACTGGTTTTTAATAAAGAAGAGGTAATTAAATAGGGATTGAATGGATATTTGTTCATGTACATTGTGGCAATGAATAGCAGTAGATGATCATGAATCTACATATTCTGTGGAGCGTGTAAGCGCTCCTCAGAAGATATGTAGATCAGCTACTGCTATTCATTGCCGCAATTTACATAAAAAAAAGGTATTCAGTTCATATATTTACGTTATGATAAACGAAAATAAAAAAAATTGCCACACTTTTTGTAAATTTAATATTTTTAATATAAGTACCGGACAGAAAACCATAAAAAAGGAACAGCCGGACCTCCAGCCTACACACAAACTTCAAATGTTCGACCTCTGTTTCTCCCGCCGATCAGCTGATTTTGTTAAAAAGAAAAAAATATATCTAGATACTATTAATAATCAACACTTTTCATTTTTGACAGTTGATCTTATTGGATATTGTTTTGTTTTGCATTATGAACACAGTATATTATATATTTGAAAAAGTTAATGTCCGCACTATTTCAAATCATCGGTCACCATAGTAACCATCCAGGTCACTCGTCGGCCAAGCACCCGTCGGCAGTAGGCAGAGCTCATTTGAAGTTAAATGTACAGCCATTGAATGTGCTGTTCACCAAAACACCTGTAGATGTAAATGATGATAGGCTGGTGGATGAAGTGCCCTGTGTCATAAAAAAGTTCTCTGATTTCAATGTGCAAGTTGATGTCACAGGGATTACCCAGCCGGACGGTTGCTTGTTAAAAAGTTTGTGACCACGAGGAACCTATTGCGAGTCGGAAGTCAGCATTTAATATGACAATGTCATAAATATTTTTTTAAATTTCAAATTAGAAAGAACAATAATAATAGTACAGTGGTGCATCATTTATGATTTTTGTAATCTTTATCATTATTTCTGGCAACTACGTTATCTTGGAGAGCGGGAAATAACTCTTCTCAGAAACGGTACTCTGCGTAGTAATATGAAGTGGTCATTGTGTATGAAATCAGCTGACTGCATGTTGCACGAGAATCGTTGTATTCATAGTGTATTCATAGTCTAATGGCAGTTGTTTTCAGTTGGTAGATTAAAAAATATAGAACAGTAAGACAATAATCTAGATCAGTAAGACAATAATATAGAACAGTAAGACAATATTATAGAACAGTAAGACAATATTATAGAACAGTAAGACAATAATATAGAACAGGTGTGACAATAATATAGAACAGTAAGACAATAATATAGAACAGGTATGACAATAACAGAACAGTAAGACAATAATGTAGAACAGTAAGACAAAAGTATGGAACAGTAAGACAGTAATATGGAACAGTAAGACAATAATATAGAACAGTAAGAAAATAACATAGAACAGTATGATAATAATATAGAACAGTAAGACAATAATATAGAACAGTAAGACAATAATATAGAACAGGTGTAACAATAACAGAACAGTAAGACAATAATGTAGAACAGTAAGACAAAAGTATGGAACAGTAAGACAGTAATATGGAACAGTAAGACAATATGGAACAGTAAGACAATAATATAAAACAGGTAAGACAATAATATGGAACAGTGAGATAATTATATGGAACAGTAAGACAATAATATAGAACAGTAAGACAATAATATAGAACAGTAAGAGGATTTCTTGACACAGTTATGATAATTAATAAGGAATTTCTACTTTTAAGGTTCTTGTAGTACCTAGCCAGTATATTTTTATATGTCTATGTAGTGAGATTTATAGTTGCCATTGACCTCCAAGTCCCCATTGTAGGTATATAAAACAGGAGATGTATGTCTTAATTTTTACATGTATGTGATACCCAAGAGAGGTTTCAACACAGACGACTGTACTACTAAGTTTACCTTACACAGGCGGTGTATGTAAGTCTCTGATTTATTTGTCGAGAGGGAAGAAAAGTACCTACTTGTCAGCATCAGGCTTGTAGTCAATACAAGGACGTGAGACAATGATCGTCACCGCAGCCTCTAGGAAATAAATAGCCATATTTATGGTAGGTAACGATAGAAAATAACGGCACTATATGTCAAATAAACATCCAGGTTTAGAGTGAATCGGAAGAGCTCTGAAATCTCACGTCAAGTTCTTATAGAGAGGAGTCCGCTTGGGAAATAGTCATTTGATTGATGGTGGCTGTATTGCATCATTTACTTTGGATATTATGAACATTAATTCTTGATTTAAATTATAATAGTCAGGCTTGTATCACTGTCTTAATAATATCAAATACACTCACTGATACTAGACAATCTCTTATAAACTCAATAATACTAGACAATCTCTTATAAACTCAATGGATACTCGACAATCTCTAAGATGATATTGGAATTTCTTTCATAAATTCAATAATACCAAAATAACTTTCAAAACCTAATTGGTAACTGGACAGTCTCTTATAAACTCAATAATACTGAAAAATCTCTTACAAACTCTTATGATACTCGACAATCTCTTATATCATATATGACATTCTCTTATAAACTCAATGATACTAAAATAATTCCCAAAATCTCATTGAGAGCTGGACAATCTCATATGAACTCTGTGATACTTGAAAATCTGTTGTAAACCTAATAATACAAGAAAGTTTCTTATAAACTCATTGATACTGAACAATCTCTTTGTACTCAAATTGGTATTGGATGATCGTTTATAAACTCAATGGTGCTAGCAAATCTCTTATAAACTGGACTGTTGGCAATCTCTTATAAACTCATTGGTGTTAGACAACTTGATATAAACTTGATAATACTGGAAATCTCTTACAAATTCAAAAATTCAAGAACATCTTTCAGAAACTCATTGTATTAGACAATTCCTTATAAACTCAATAATAATGGAAATCTCTTGCAAACTCAATGATTCAAGAAAATCTTTTTACAAACTCATAAATACAAGAAAATCTCTTCCAAAAAAATCTCCTATAAACTCAATGATGCTGGACAAGCTTTTATTAATTACTGGACATGATGATCTGTAAATATCAGCTCAGACAATGGTAATCTTTGATCATCAGTTTAATCCATGATAATTTCTAATTATCAAACTAAAATGCTGAACAACCAATGATTATCTGAGCTTCACTATCTCGGTCAGCCTCTTGTTATTCGAGCTCGCTGTAATCAACCTCTTTGATATCGGCTAACACTTGACAATACCTATTTGTCAGCAGCAACTTAACAGTTTTGTATCAGCTCCATCCTGACAATCTCTTATTACCAGCTCCTGCTGAACGATTTAGCAAGTTTTTCCCAGAAAATCTTATTATCTGTCCAGGAAAGAAAAGTGTGGTTTGGTTATTTAATGCAAATGCTGTCTTCGTTACAGCTATTTGGAGTAGATTGAGTCTATAAAAAGATCCATATCATACTAGTATTCTGTTGAAATCCCCTTTACTCCCGTTGGTATAGTCGTACCAAAACTTCACGTCAAAACACTGACTCTCTCCAGTATTAAAAAAACACTCACTATTGAGAAGCAAATATCTTCATAAGTTTTCAAAAATGAAGATGATCCTCCGTATTCAAAAACAAAGATGTTCATCAGTATCTAGAAACATAGATATCAACCGTGCTCATGCAAAATCATAGATATTCAGTAATTATTAAAGCACACGTAGACATTTTTCAGTATTCAAATACATCTATATTTATACATTTGACAGTATAAAAACTGACATTTAAATACAGTCACTAGTTTTTCGAAATCCTGAAGCTGCTTGAGAACCCAGACAGAAGGGAGACAATGTTAGTATACAACGTTATTGTGTGTGAGGGTTATACACAGCTGTTCTTTCTCCGGTTAATATTGTTTTAACATTTAGTGATCCTGTCTGATTTGTTACTGCACCTGGTATGCATGATAACTTTTTTCAGTTTTAATGAAATCTCGTGGCTAACTGCAGTTCGTAGTTACCTTAACAGATTATATAGGTCTAATACCAGTAGTTACTGTAGCTTGCTGTTCTGATTTCCTGTGTATATAATAGTTAGCAGAGATGATTCAGAGTCAATAATATCATTCCCATAGAGATTTAGTCATTATCAATCATCAGGAAGTTCAGGGTCAGCGACATTTTTACCAGAAAGACTTGTGTGGTTCATATATCTTAACCATGGACAGTTCAAGGTCAATGATGCTATTAAGAGTAAGATGCAGTTGTTATAACCTTGCGAGATTTCAAGGTCAGTTGTTATAACCTTGCAAGATTTCAAGGTCAGTTGTTATAACCTTGGGATATTTTAAGGTCAGTTGTTATAACCTTGCGAGATTTCAAGGTCAGTTGTTATAACTATTAAGTGTTCATATTAATCAGTGATTTTATATCTAGTGAGAATGTTCAAGGTCAGTGATTTTATATCTAGTGAGAGTTCAAGGTCAGTGATTTTATATCTAGTGAGAGTTCAAGGTCAGATATTTTATATCTAGTGAGAGTTCAAGGTCAGAAATTTCATATCTAGTGAGAGTTCAAGGTCAGATATTTTATACCTAGAAAGACTTTAAGTTCAGTGGTTTAAAGCTAGGAAGCAAAAGATTATAACAGCTATCCTGTAATGCTGACATCAAAATTATTTTGCTTTATTATCAAACTGCTTCGTTAAACAAGAAAGTCAGGTATTGATTTTAAAGAGATATTCTGTAGCAATTAAGAGTGTGTTGATGATATGGACACTTCGTAATTTGTTTAGTGTACTGGCACGTTGTTGATGATATGGACACTTTGTAATTTGTTTAGTGTACTGGCACATTGTTTGAATTATTTCCCTGTTTTCTTCTTCTAGGTGGTATGAACATGGTTGGACCCTTGACTGCTAACTCAATCATGTAAACCAATCAAAGTAACTGAATTACTCGTGGGATCATCAGCAGTGCCGTCGTATTACCCTGGCATTGGGGGACTTCCTAAGTGTCATTTGGAAGATATTGGTGCAAAGAATTGGAAATTATCTGAAGCCGAAGTCTCGCAAAAGTTTGGTCACACAGACACTTCACTCCTGAAGGTGAGTCAAACTTCTAGCCTTATAATCATTCTTTCTGGTCAAGATTGTTTCCTAGCACACTATTAAGGTTTCACTGTGAACATTAAGTTATAAACTTGAGACAGAGGCTAGCTAATCTGAGTGATAAAATTAGGGTCAAGGTCATCTATATAAGGATATATAAACCAGCGCCACCTGGTGACATCATTGATTATCAAGGCTCTATGGGTCAGGGTCATATGTCTTCCACCAGTCATTGTCAATTCTATACCTGATACAGTTGTGACTGTGTTAACTCTACACCTAAACAGTGAAAAGGTTGTCCCCGACTCTAGAATGTTGAATTATTTAGAAAAAAAATCAACTCTCATCATTTTGATCATTTGGATATTGTCTGATACTAAGTTCTAAACTAGGGGGAGATAAGCTGATAGTAAAATGCAGTTGAGAAATTCTTCATAAAAACATTGGGGCTGGTAGTCAGTCTATTCCTTAACCATACTATCTCAACAGTAAATGGTGTAAAAGTCTATACCTTAACCATACTATCTCAACAGTAAATGGTGTACAAGTCTATACCTTCACCACACTATCTCAACATAAATGGTGTAAAAGTCTATACCTTAACCACACTTTCTCAACATTAAATGGTGTAAAAGTCTATACCTTAACCACACTGTCTCAACATTAAATGGTGTAAAAGTCTATACCTTAACCACACTATCTCAACAGTAAATGGTGTAAAAGTATAGACGTTAACCACACTATCTCAACCGTAAATGGTGTAAAAGTATAGACGTTAACCACACTATCTCAACATAAATGGTGTAAAAGTCTATACCTTAACCACACTACCTCAACAGTAAATGGTGTAAAAGTATATACCTTAACCACACTATCTCAACATTAAATGGTGTAAAAGACCTCCACAAACATATACCAGTCCAGCATATAAAATAAAATCACTCCAACATGAAACAGTGATATTGGCAAAGTAAGTCTATAGTGTAACACTGATGTAGATTCCAAGACTTGTATTTGTTATGGTGTTTGAGAGATAGTGTATTTGTTATGGTGTTTGAGAGCTAGTGTATTTGTTATGGTGTTTGAGAGATAGTGTATTTTTTATGGTGTTTGAAAGATAGTGTATTTGTTATGATGTTTGAGAGATAGTGTATTTGTTATGGTGTTTGAGAGATAGTGTATTTGTTATGATGTTTGAGAGTGTATTTGTTATGGTGTTTGAGAGATAGTGTATTTGTTATGGTGTTTGAGAGATGTGTTATGGTGTTTGAGAGATAGTGTATTTGTTATGGTGTTTAGAGAGATAGGGTGGAGAAAACCTGATTTGTAAGCTTGTGATGGCTGCACATTTCAGCTCCTTTCACACTGTACATTTAGTGCCAGTGTTTTGTGCAGTGACACACAGCACGAAATGTTTGTATTCTGAATAGGTTAGTCAATATAACATGGAAATATTGACAATGCTTCATTGGTTTTTATACAAGTTTATTGAATTTTAGAACAAATATTTCCATGGAAACAGCAATCGAAGAGAAAAAAAAATTGCCGTGATATCAGAGATCAGCTTGAAACTCTTCACACATTAACTACAATAGCCAAACCGCTAGTACGAACAAGCTTTATGTAAACCTTCCAATACTTACAAGGTTCATACAAACCTCCCAATACAGACAGGCTTGATACAAACCTCCCAATACAGACAGGCTTCATACAAACCTCCCAATACAGACAGGCTTCATACAAACCTTCAAATACATACAGGCTTGATACAAACCTCCCAATACAGACAGGCTTCATACAAACCTCCTAATACAGACAGGCTTCATACAAACCTCCCAATACAGACAGGCTTCATACAAATCTCCCAATACAGACAGGCTTCATACAAACCTTCAAATACATACAGGCTTCATACAAACCTCCCAATACAGACAGGCTTCATACAAACCACCCAATACAGACAAGCTTCATACTAATGTCTGTTGCAAACATTGCATCGGGCATCTTTCCACAAACTCATCACAGTTGCCCCTTTGACATAATCCCTGCTGATTTATATGTCACCCATTCAATTAGAGTTTATCCCTTCTATCATATTTTTCATAAACATAAATATGTATCAGTTTTTCAAAGATATGATTTAGTTCAGCCATATTGGTGTAGGCGACACCACCAAGCTCATTAGATATCAATGATGGCTGTCTTGAATCCGTTAGCTCTCTTGCTTGATTTATATAAACACATGGACATAAATTTTGAAACATTCACAAAATGGACAAATCCTCTTGTGAACCATTTCTATGGGAACCAGGTGGCTGTCGAGATAGATGGTCAGCTTCACCCTAAGTTTATTATGTTTTCCCCACAGAGCCGTTGCTTCTCGACATTAAGGATGATCGCCCTTTCTCGATGTGCTTGATCAACACGATGGATGGTCTCTGGTTTGTCCCCATGGCGTCTGGTTGCCATAGTGATCAATAGATCTAAACAGCATAGTCCCCCTAAATCATCCGCGGCCTGATAAAAATGGACAGTTTCCTCACTTCTTCAATAAAATTCAATATTTTGTGACCATAAATCAGCTGGAACCATAACCAGTATTGCCAATTTCTTCTGCTGAATTTGTACAATTGTTATTGGTCGCAAAATGTCACTGAGTAGTCACCCCTATCAACACTGTACGCCCTCCGGAGGGGAAGTAGTTTGATATAGGTACAGTACGGTCATAGCTCTGCATGTCTGATGGTTACCCTATCAAATCAGGCCGGGTTTATTGGGAACAATATGATACAAACATAGATTTATGAGTTCTGGTTTAGGTGTTATAATCCTCATTTCCATTTGTATAATACTCCCATGTTTTATCCTGAAGTATGTGGCGTTTGTGTATAGGAAGCATGACATTAATTCAGAACTTTGATTTCCATAATATTCACTCAGCCAACATTTTGAAGAACTTATGACATCATAATAGAATTATGTAATGAGTTTTTTGTGTGTATCTTTGGTGATCAGTCAATGGAAATGACCTGTTCTGTATTTATTAGCTCACCTGGCTCGAAAGGCCAAGTGAGCTTATGGCATAGTGCGGCGTCCGGCGTCCGTCCGGCGTACGGCGTCAACTTTTTACTTTAAACAACTTCTATTCAGTAAACAAAAGTCATAGGGTGACGATATTTGGCCAGAAGCCTGCTCGGGTGAAAGGCTACCAAGTTTGTTCAAATATGTATGAAACTTTTAAACAACTTCTTCTGAATAACCAAGAGGCCTAGGATAATGATATTTGACCAATAACATGCTGGAATGAAGGGCTACCAAGTTTGTTCAAATGAATGACCTTGAATCATATTCAAGGTCACTAGGGTCAAATATGTTGTAATCATTTATACAACTCCTTCTGAATAACCAAGAGGCCTAGGGTGATGATATTTGGCCATTAACATGTTTGGATGAAGGGTTACCAAGTTTGTTCAAATAAATTACCTTCATCCATTTTCAAGGTCACAGGGGTCAAATATGTATAAAACCTTTAAACATCTTCTCCTGAATAACCAAGAGGCCTAGGATAATGATATTTGGCCAGTAACATGCTGGAATGAAGGGCTACTAAGTTTGTTCAAATGAATGACCTTCAATCAACTTCAAGGTCACTGGGGTCAAATATGTTGAAAACATTTAAACAACTTCTTCTGAATAACCAAGAGGCCTAGGGTGATGATATTTAGCCAGTAACATGCTGGGATGAAGGGTCACCAAGTTTGTTAAAATGAATAACCTTCGCCCATATTCAAGGTCACCGTGGTCAATATATGTTTAAATCTTTGAATGATTTGTTCTGTATTACCAAAACGTCCAGGGTGATGATATTTTGCTTGAAGCATGCTGGGTTGGAAGACTATACATTCTGTTCAACCTAATATCCTTGTTCGACATTCAACGTCACGGGTGTCATATGTTTAAATATTTTAATAGGTTCTTATTAATCAAACACCAATATTCTGCCTGTAGTTGTATTTTAGTCCACTTTTAAGATAACAAGTATGAAATTAATACCAGGTGAGCGATTCAGGCCCATTCAGCCTCTTGTTATTCCTTCACAAGTGATGCTACATGGTTGTGTATGTTTATGATCTGTATCAGTAATTCTAGTGTGTCAGGGTCGTAACTTCTAACACAATGAAACCTTGTACACTTTTACTGTGGCAATACTAGCCAATGGGTAATGGCCGACTCATTCTACGATCATGCCATTATCAGGGATAAATGATCCAGTAACTGTAGTTTCAAGTGTATCTTATTAAGTTCTGAAGAGATTTCTCTCAAATTTGACCTAATACTTTCCTATTATGGGATGTTGCGCCTTTTTTCGCATGTCGTAAACTTCTAAGAGTTATGCCCCTTTTCATATCACTCCTTTCTGTAATACACTATGTCAAATAGCTGTAAAACATTGAAGTATACTGAATACAATTTTTTCTGCACAACTCCTACGTTTTCCAGCTGAATTTCATGAAACTTCACTGATCTAATCCTCACACTCTGAAGTTGGATACTTGATAATAAAAGTTTGACCTGGCCAAGTTTTTAGCTCATCTGGCACGAAGTGGCAAGTGAGCTTATGCCGTGGCACGGCGTCCGTCCGTCTGTCCGTCCGACATCAATATTTTACTTTAAACGACTTCTTCTTAATAACCGAAAGGCCTAGGGTGTCGATATTTTGCCAGAAGCAAACTGGGATGAAGGGCTACAAAGTTTGTTAAAATTAATGACCTTCACCCATTTTCAAGGTCACAGGGGTCAAATATGTTAAAAACTTTAAACAACTTCTTCTCAATAACCTAAATGCCCAGGGTGATGATATTTGGCCAATAGCATGCTGAGATGAAGGGCTGCAAAGTTTGTTCAAATGAATGACCTTCACCCATATGCAAGGTCACAGGGATCAAATATGTTAAAAACTTTAAACAACTTCTTCTGAATAACCAAAATGCCCAGGG